CACAAATTTATTTGTCATATATATATATATATATATATATATATATAATTTTTGATACATGGTAATTTGATACATCCTAAAACTTGACATTAGACATTAAACCGCTAGACAGCAATAACACTAGACTGTCCTGTGTTTAACACTGTTAAACTTTTTTTTTAATATGCAGATTGAAATAAGATTACAGAGTTTTCAACATGCTTACATTTTTTAATCTACTGACAAGCCTAATGAAACATTAAATTAATTTAAACAGAAAAACGTAACCAGATTTCAGATTTCGCCGCTTGCCTTGGAAAACACTTCTATTTCTTATAAGTTCGCTGGAAGGACACTGTTCTTGCATGGTTCCTCTTGAAGTGTTATTTTTGTTGCCGTGGTTTGCAGAGGTGTTAATAGCTTGTCCACATGCCACTGTGAAACACCTGTGCCTTGTTTGCGATGATCTGCTGCCGCAGTTACAGCTGATAAAACACTGCAAGTGTGAAGATCGAGACAGGAAGATGTTAGTAGGCAAGTTTCCTGTTTTCTGTCACTTGGGGAAATTACAAAGTTATGCTACCAGGCAATATCTACAGTATCATAAACATTAAATGAAACATTAGTTTCTAAATGCATACTACTGATCTTACTGTGAATGATTCACGGTTTGTGACACAATTTTTTTAATTGAAATGTCCTAAGTCGACCTTCCGGTAAAATGACAGACTTTTCTCTGGTGACGCGTGCAGGGCTTCAACGCGTTATCACAATCCACTGCATGCTGACATTCAGCCGATCCGCCTCCGTCAAAACAACCGTTGCATAGTCCCCATCGTATATTATTTTTTCACTAAACCGTTTCACTTGGATTTACACCACAATAGGGATGTGCGGTATACCGGTACTGGAAAAATACCGGTATTTATTATATTTCAAACGATACGATATCATCATTTTGCTCAATTCGGTATTTCATTCGCTGCTGTTCCAAAGTTCACCACTATGTGGCAGTGTTTTCCACGGCAGTCTGCAAGCGCTGCTATAAATCATGTGCTGCCATGGGAACATTCCTCACTCGCTCATCCTGATTTGTTCAAGGAGTTAAAAGATCGACAGGTAAATGGGTCTCTTTCAACGGATTTAATTTAGACTTTTATTTTAATAAGATCAGTAATATTATTTTTAGTATTAGTAATAGTGATGAAGGGCATATTACTCTTAAATATGATCGTGGTTTTGCGCAGCTTGTCGGTGAACAACGGCTCTGTGTAGTTAATTCTGCTCTATCTGAAAGCACGCACGTGATGGAGATTTACCGCTGATTACAGAACCGGCTTTCTGACAAGATGCGCGTTAAATATCGCATGCGATTTATTGTGCAGCCCTACTCCACACATATAAGCCCATGGAAGAGACCAGTGCCACAGAAAACCCACTTTCTCTGTGGAAAAGTCATGAATCAAGCCTCCCCATTCTTTCAACATTTGCCAAATATTACCTTTGCATGATATGAAGACATGATCCTATTTTAATTTTATCTCTTCAGTTTTTTTTCTTCAAAATCAAAATCTGACCTATGTTCAATGTAGGTATTTTATTTATTTATTTATTTTTACATTTTGTTTGCACAATTTTTCGTGCTGAGTTCCAAGCAGTGCGTTTAATAAAATTGTTTTCAATTCACTTATATTTTGAGGCTGGTTATTTGTCACCTATGGTATCGATTTAGTATCGATACCGAGGTATTAGATCCTAGTATCGTACCGAAGTCAAAATTGTGGTATCGAGCCATCCCTACACCACAATACGATCTGAAAAAAAGATCGTATTGTGGTGTAGGGATGACTCGATACCACAATTTTGACTTCGGAACGATACTAGGATCTAATACCTCGGGATGTCATGTTTTACTGTTGGAGCTACAATAAGATGTTTATAGAGAAGAAATACACTCACTACCATTAAAAAATCTGGGATCGCTGTGTTTTTTTTAATGAATTTATATTTTTATTCAGCAACGATGCATTTAAGTGATCAAAAATGACAGTAAAGACATTTAAAATGTAAAATATTTTTACTTAAAATAAATGCTGTTCTCCAAACTTTCGGTTTCATCAAAGAATCCTGAAAAAGCTTTGATCAAATAAATGCTGCCTTGTTGAGCATAAGAATCTTACCAACTATTGAATAGTAGCGTGTTTATTTATTTATTAGTATTAGTATTATTTTAGGTTTTTATTTGCATTATCCACTCACCAAACCTCACTGCAGTGATGCTGAATCTGTGTCCTGTTACATACTGATGGTTATTTGGGCTTACTATTTGTATTACGTTACATTGCACCGTGTCACTTCTGAGGGTTTGCGCCATGTGCTACTGAAACACAAATACTACAGCAATCTTGTGGAAATTAGCTGTTTTAACCACACAAACAGCACAAGCTCATTTTCACCTCAATTTGACCAAAAAAGCAACAGAAGGCAGTTCTTTTCTGAGACGCAAAATAAACCTGGAAGTGATATTGCTGAGTGTTTGTTTGAACGTCATCTATACTGACCAACACTGATAAACGGACTGATAGACCCTTATTTCATATATAAACGAGACAATATAACTAGTAGTGCGTCGATCACATCATAGCCAGTCAAAACTGCAAGTAGCCTGAGGTTAACGAGTCAAATGTTGGCCTACTACCCAAAACTCCACTTAAACTGTAAACATAAACCATTTTTACAACAGACAGTTTTCATTTTCAGCTAAGCTAAAATAGCAGAAAGGGCTGAGAAAGGCATTTTTCCATCAGGGTAGCCAGCTTAAAACATGCAGAGTCTTATCTCTCCATGGCTTTGAAATGAAGCCAGCATGAGGGCACATAAATACACTGCTGCCAGCAGAACGACTGCTGTTTGGCTTCAACCTACTCACTTTGACAAACGTGCAACGCTCACTGCATTCACAGTTCTTCACACAGCTACATGACTGCAACCTAGTATTCAAACTGTCTCAAACTTGTAAAAGCACTTTTCATAAAGAAAGAAAGAAATAAGGTAACACTTTAGTTTAAGGACCAATTCTCACTATTAAAGTTGCTTATTAGCATGCCTATTATTAACATATTGGCTGTTTATTAGTAGGCCTACTTATAAAGCACATATTAATACCTTATTCTGTATGACCATATTTTAGATCACTTAATCCTAAACTTAACAACTACCTTACTAAATATTAATCATAGTTAATAGTGAGAATTAGTCCCCAAATTAAAGTGTAACCATAATTAAATATAATACAATTTTATTTAAATTAAATGTAGGGCTCATTCTCAGAAAATGGAGGCACATGACTAATTACCAGTATAAATAACAAGACTCACTTAATTTTTTAATGTTTGGTTTTCTTGAGAAAACTGAAAAGTAGGTTGAAGCCAATCAGCAAATGTGCATGTTACTAGCTTGTTTGATTTTTTTAAATGACATTCATTCAGGTCACACTTTATTTTAAGGTCCATTTCTCGCTACTAACAAACCATTAACTATGACTTTTGCCTCAAACTCCTAATTTGCTGCTTATTAATAGTTAGTAAGGTAGTTGTTAAGTTTACAGGTATGGGGTATGATTAGGGATGTAGAATATTCTCATGCAGAATATGTACTTTGTGAGTACTAACAAACAGCCAATATGTTAATAATAGGCATGCAACTAGTTAATAGTGAGAATTGGTCCCTATACTAAAGTGTTACTGTTACCTTTACTTTTTTAATGTAATAGGGTTAAAAAGTTGCTGCACAAAAACACGGGTTGGTTACTTACTTACTTATCTATTTATTTATTTTTAAATGTATGCTTTATTACAAGGCACACACAAACTAAATGCCACTACAAATTCTTACTGTGGCGGGGTGTTGGAATTTGACTGCGATCAGCCAGTGACAAATCCATATTTGTTGATCAATAATCTGAATATTGGAAGGACGCATCACCCCATGATTGTTCCCCAGTTATGGCCTTGAATCTTTGGGTCTGAGGTGATTTTCGGAATTCAAGGAGAAGTTAGGAATGAACTTTTAGAAGATTCTGAATGAAATTCTAAAAATGTATTAAAATAATAGATGTACTAACTTTGTTTCATAGAAGCAAACACAATTTTATATTTATAATTAATTTCTTTATGAACATTTTTTCAAGTATGCATGAACATGCCTAAAACTCACTGTAGCTTTATAGACCTCATTATATTGCCTCATTTAAATAACTGTAAAGCTAAGAAAATTTATTTTTAATTTTGACGTTTAATCATTTTTCCAGAGCCCTACACAGTAGTTTAACAATCATTAAATCTACATCCCTGACCTACCCCAAAGTCATTATGCCCGGCCTGTGGGCGGCGAGGAGCACATGATATCATCAGGCACCCCTCCTTCATGCACATATGTATCGGAGCTTTATGAGTTGTGGGGACTGGCACAAACTGCCTCTATGAGCCTCACAGGCAGACTGTCAGCACACAATGAAGCTCTATTCAAGGATGCAGCGCTGCCCCTTTAAGAACACCCACTACTGAGGGCTCCGGGCTGCACTGGGTCACGAGGGTGAACGGATAAATAAGGAAACGCCAGAAATAAAGAATACCTAATACACAAAAAACATTCACTGTAACACTATTACAATACAGCATATGCACAAAACATGGCAAATATGCAGCCTACTTAGTTATAGTGCATATATTACAAGAAATATTCAACACCCATACACTGATCATTTGGCAAAGAGTCAAGACGCACTTAGCAATGGCAAGGCGCCCACTGCTTGATACTAGAGCAAGCATTTTTGCATGTGTTTACATTTGTTTTTGTTCAAATCGACAAAGCATAATAGAGCTATACTCTATTAATGTAGAGCATCAATCATCTACTGTAAGTCTCAGTAACAGTCCCAGCATGCATGGCTACTTACTGTAAGCCACTAGGCGTGTCGTTTTAGTTGCCCGTGACTCAACATGTTTGGATGTGGGTGTGTCTGAACGACAAAACTGAACTCTTGAAAATGAGTGCTTGATGTCCAATGTCCATGACCTTAACCAGCAATTAGTTATATAACATGCTATTATTCCTCACAGTAACACATTGTGCTGTGTGATTGGGTAGTTATTCCATCAGAAGTCATGATAGGCCAATGCAACAAATGCAGATTATTTTGTTAAGGACACAATATGCTGATGTTATTTTTCAACAGGGTAGAGGAAGTTGGGCATGTGAAATGTGGTGAACTAGGAAAGCTGAATTGAGGCATAATAAATGACAGAGCTGGGCTGGTTAATCATTCGGGCATTTATCTGTGTTTTCTCTGATGGTTTATGTCTTCTATGCAAAGACAAGGTTTATGGGTCTACAAAAGTACCTCTGTCAGATCCAGTTTGAATTATTTACTCCGAACAAATTTGTTAACAAGAACTTTTTATAGACTTTTTGTTGATTTGCTATTGCGTAATATGGGTTTTTACAATACGGAGAGCAAATACAGAATAGTTATGCTAGTTTACAGGGTTAGCTCACCACAGATGAAAATTGTTCCTTGTGTCTTATTGCTTTCTTCCAGTGAAGGCAGCAGAAGTTTTGCAGAACAGTTTTGCAAATAGTGTCTAAGGTCTGTCACGCTCCAAAAATAATAAATGTCATCTGATGACTTGACAGACAGTTTTTAAGTAAGAATGAGATATGAGAAGGAGTTTCAGTAATTTGTTACAGTATTGTGCATCATTTAGAACAGAATTGAGAAGGTTTTTAAATTGACATTAAATATCTTCATTTGAATTAATGTTTTTAATTGGGGTAACAAACAGTATAGAGTTGCAGTTTGAATTTGAATGTAAGGAAGTTGAAAGAAACCGAAATAAATCCATTTACATAACTAACTTCAAACTAGAAAAGTAAAGCTTGTCAAAACAAACTGAAAGTTTATAGGTCTTAAGACTGAAACACTGACTGGCAGACAAACAGATAAATAATAGCTAGAACAGAGAGAAAAATAGACAAAACTAACAGACGAACGATAGACGAATGATAGAACGATAGACAGAAACAATACATAGAATGATCGACAGACAGAATAAATGAATGCACAAACAAATGTAAAACAAACAGACAGACCGAACAAACAATCGATAGATGGGGTCATATGATGCTATTTAAAGTTTTCCTTTCTCTTTGGAGTGTTACAAGCTGTTCGTGAATAGATAAGATCCCTGAAGTTGCAAAGACTAAAGTCTCAAACCCAAAGAGATATTCTTTATAAAAGTTAAGACTCTGCCACGCCTACCTAAAACAGCTCGTCTAAACACGCCCCCACATGTCTACCTCACTATGTGGAAATATTTGCATAACACCGCCCAAATGTTCACGCAAAGAAAGAAGGCGTAACTTTATTGTTGCTGCCGCCGTCATGTTGTGAAGCCGCTGTGTGTTTTGTTGTGAAAGCGAAACTACTTTTTTTGATCTTCCAAAAGAGGACGATATCCGGTTCGTCATGCCTAGAGCGAGTTTTGAGCAGTGTAGAGTAGCACTTGTTGTTTGTTATTTCTCCGATCACAAATGCAGACATGGTTTTATGTTTACGCGGCGCGATGCAACGCAACGCGTAAAAAGACAGTATAAGTCATTATAATAATTACTGGATGCAGCGAATGCCTCGTTTATAATGGGTTTTAATGTTTTTGTCTCGTCGCTCCGGCCGGGACAGGGCATCACAGTATGGTGAGGGGCGTAACATTTCCGTCACACGCTTGAGGTATTCGGCCAATCACAACGCACTGGATAGCTGGCCAATCACAGCACACCTCGCTTTTCAGACCGATGAGCTTTGTAAAAATCGATGCGTTTCAGAAAGACGGGGCATTGAGGAGAAACAATAATGTACAGTATGTGGAAAATAATGTGTTTTTTTACCTTAAACCGCATAAACACATTTCATTACACCAAATAACGTTCTTTTTATCAGCATCATATGACCCCTTTAAAGATAAATCAACCACAACTGAGAGACAGATAGGAGAGAACAGCAGCCTGGTCTCTAAGGATCCAGCAGATGGGTGATCCAGCCTCGTGAACTCTGACCTCACACACACACCATCGAGCACATGGTCTGCATGCCATGCCACCTCCTCCCAAAAGCACACACTAAGTGTGTCAGTGTGAAGTTTCAGATGCTCTGCGATGGGAGATATTTCATTCAGCAGCACTATTAATACTCTTTTCACCCACTTCTGTTACTAGCCACACTGCTATACGCTTAAAACAAGACTAACTGGATGTGTGATGCAGTTTTATAATTGTATTTGCAACCATACTTTATCTTAGTTAAGCTAAGCTGATATTTTGAAACAGTTGCTTGAATGACAATTCTGGCACTTTCTTTAAATCTATTTGTAGCTCTTAAAGTGAAAGGTATGTGGTTTAAGGCCTCTGACAAGACACTTTTAGACATTTCACACACGATTAGACTAAATGTTTACCATATATGTTGTGGCATGAAATAAAGAAATCTTCACTTTCTCAATTGTGTGAATCAACAGGTGGATTATTTTTATTCAGTCTCCATGACAACGGCTCGTTTTAATCCACAGCAGTATTTTATTGATCATACTTGCGATGAAGCCAAATTAAGACCTGGCGTTATATCTCTAGCGTTTTGCGAGCATATTATGAAACGAAATGTAAAGTTAAAGTCACACTCATGTTAATAACTTACTATTTCAGCGGCCAGGATGGTTCCTTTCCGAGTTCGCACAAAGCTCATCAGTTTCTCCAAACAGCCTCCAAACGGACTTCCCCCAGTTTCTGCCATTCTGAAGATGTTTTCCTATGAAATAACGCTTTCTTATGAAGCCTAGCGTCCGTATCAGCAAACGTTCACAAACACGGTCTGTTAAAAGGCTCCGTTTATAGCTAACGCAGCTTCTGAGTGTCCGAGCCACAGTCTGGTCAGAGCAGCAGATGCGGACTGGAAAGTGTGAGTGTGCGGGGCGTTGGCTTAGGCGTTGTAGTGTCTCGAGGGTAATTCACGGGGAGAGAGCGAAACCAACAGCCCTGCTCTGTGTTCATGCTCATTGAGCTGCCTACCTAGACCACTGAGTCTGAAAGCGCTTCGTCTCAGCAGCTGAAATGCCTGCAACGCTAAGTAGGCAGCGCGCTCGGTTTTGAAACGCAGCTCGAATAATCATCGTGGAAATGTTCAATCAGCAGAGCACAGCAGACTGCCAGCTCTCAGCTGTCTTTGGAAGACACGTTTTCAGAAAGGAAACCACAGCTGCCCCACTTTAAATCTGCAGTGGAACACGTTTTAGGGATCTTTATGATACCTTAAAAATGCAAAACGTGTGCAAATAAATATATAAAACCCTTACTTCCATGAAATGTCTCATTATCGTCATTGTTTTACTTTCTTTTAAGCTTTTGAGTTGTGTGCATTTATTTATCATATGCATTTTTACTGTTTTAAAATAAAAACTGCATTAAAAATCATGTAAACAGTTTTTTTTTGTCAAATAGGTCAAATCAACATTATTAGGATCTTTATGATACCTTAAAAATGCAAAACGTGTGCAAATAAATAAATAAAACCCTTACTTCCATGAAATGTCTCATTATCGTCATTGTTTTACTTTCTTTTAAGCTTTTGAGTTGTGTGTGTCATCATTGCGATATGCATTTTTACTGTTTTAAAATAAAAATTGCATTAAAAATCATGTAAACAGTTTTTTTTTTCAAATAGAAAAAAAAATCAACATAATTTGGCATTTCTTTCACAAAACCATTGGAGTTCATGTAGTAGCCTTTTTATTTGTTTCTGTTAATGCTAGGTGCCGATGGAACCTGCTTCAAGAGAATACAATTATCTAAATATTTCAAATAATTTCCACTAAGCTACTGAGCTATGCTTTGATACAACCTCCCAACTTTTCTCTTTTTTAACAAAATGTGCTTTTTTTTAGCTTGGACCGTGTAATATAATTTCAACTTTATCTTTAACAGCATTCAAGATGTTTGTAACAGTTCAAAACACATTCTGGTGTTAGCAGACAGATTAGTGTCTACATGTGACCGACAATTCCACCACAAATGTGAAATATCATATTATCAAAATATTCATCTGACGGTGGTGACGAAAACCTGAATTTGTAATCATTTTAACTAGCAAATACATTGAATCAGTCAATTATTGTATTAAAACAAACACAACAAACAGTGAGTATGTTATTGTTTATAAAGCTTTTATTCAAGAGTCACATTGAAGTATTTTGATATATCATTGGAACACAAGGTCTTATGGTGGTGACATCTGACGGTGTTGACAAATTTGGCATTTCTTTCACAAAACCAATGGAGTTCATGT